TTGTTTTAGTCCACTTCTGGGATTTAGCCTCGTTCCAGAACGTTTTGCGTGTTCATCACGTTTACAGACTTTGCTTACTTTAATACAGACTGTTGGTTCTCGTATCTCAGACAGATGAAGGTTCATATACTGAGGAACGTTTGGCTGAACGGTTGGAACGCTGGGCTCTCAAGCGAGTGACTCGGGTTCCAATCCTCGGTAAGGCTGGCGATTTTTTTCAGTCGGGGGCACACACACAAAATCCTCACCTGCACAGTCGTAGGGACAGCACAAGGCATGCGGCCGTAAATCCTCAGGCTCAAAGACCCCCATGCCTACACCGCTAACGTGGTAATAAAGGCAATCATTGGCAGGTCGGTTGATATTCTAGGTGCCAGAGAAGTAACTCCAAGTTTTAAAATACTTACAAATTACTTATTTATGATAATATTTGTCTCATACTGTTTGTGTGCGTTTGATCTGAAATGCACGAGAGTGCAATCTGTAATTTTAATTTGTGTATCTGTGTTTCATGGAAAGATATAAAACCAAACAAAAAGTAGATTAGCATACTTTACAACATAACAAACACAAGCAAAAAGTGAACTTTGCGGCTACAGAACCTTCATCAGAACATACTTAAATCACACAAAACCACACGAATACTCACAACATCATTTAACTGACATTAATACAGTTCAGTAACCAAGAAAGGTGTCTGGAAAAACACCACGTTCTTACCTCAATACTCGCCTTATCGCCTCTCTTGAGAGGGATAGATTAGTTTCGTATCCTTTACAGGACGTTGCAGAACCAACCCCAATGTGTAGTTTTTCTAGGCACATTTACATCCAGTAGTTTGCCATTGCTTTCTGGACGGTCGGTTTTCTTGATACCACTGTCGAAACCAACGCAAGGCGCATGTCCTGCAGCTGGGATCGAACCCGGCATCCCGGCATTACGAAGCTTTCGCCGACCTTGAGAGGGATAGTGTATTATAATTAGACCATGGATAGGGCACAACAGACTTCGTCAACATATGTTCAAACTTTTCGGTGTAGGAAACATGGAGACGTGCTCCTGGTGCGTGGCACCTGAAAGTGCAGAGCATGTACTCCAACACTGTCAACTGTATGCTGACAACAGAGACGCAATCTGGCCTGTTCCAAACACAATGAAGACAAAGTTGTATAGTACACAAGAAGATATGGACTTACGATAGCTTTCATAAAGGCTACCGGCCTCCTGATATAAGTTTTTTGATAGAAGGATCGGAGGAGGAGGAGGAGAAGAAGAAGAAGAAGAAGAAGAAGAAGAAGAAGAAGAAGAAGAAGAAGAAGAAGAAGAAGAAGAAGAAGAAGAAGAAGAAGAAGAAGAAGACTTAACTGACGTATCCAGAAGCAGCCATGTTGATGTCTAGCCAGTGAAAGGAAGAGACACGTTAGGCCCAAGATTACATAGCTCAGGAATGCCAAGGGTCGTAACTGGATAATTTTTATATGAATCTGTGTTGACAGTTGAGTATTGTCTATCACCTGTCTAACTTTCACCTATCTACCTTTCACCTATCTATGTATTACCTACCTTTCACCTATCTACCTTTTACCTGTCTACCTATCACCTGTCTATCTTTCACCTGTCTGCCTATCACCTGTCCACCTATCACCTGTCTACCTATCACCTATATACCTCTCACCTATCTACATTTCGCATGGCTACCTATCACCTATCCACCTTTTACCTATCTACCTTTCACCTATCTACCTATCACCTATCTATCTTTCCCCTATCTACATTTCACCTGTCTACATATCATCTGTTTACCCTTTACCTATTTACATTTCACCTATCTACCCTTCACCTATCTTCCTATCACCTATCTGTATTTCAGACTGATTTGTTTGAAATGTGAGCAACTGGTGTAGCATGTACGAAAGAAGATCTGCGCTCCAGCCAGGGGATTGTTTCATTTACCGCCGTCGTCCCCGTTGTAAACATAACAAATGTACATCAGAAGGCTGGAAGATAGAAGTATCATCACCAGCGTGAGTAGAGGAAAGTAAAGCCACAGAAACTATTAGTGAGCGAGATAACTGTAGCAGAGTCTACAATATAGGGGTAACAGAAATAGAAATGACATAACACAAACTATTGAATGACAATTGGCTCTCCGACTATTCCGTGTCTGACTATTGACTGTCTGTCTGTTGGCTGACTATTGGCTGTCTGAATATTCCGTGACTGACTATTGAATGTCTGATTATTGGCATTTTGACTATTCTGTGTCTGACTATTGGCTGTCTGTCTGTTGGCTGTCTGTCTGTTGACTGTCTGACTATTTCCTGTTTGACTATTGACTATCTGACTATCAACTGTTTGACTATTGACTGTTTGAAAATTGATTGTTCAACTATTGACTGTTTGACTGTTTACTATTTGACCTTTGACTGTCAGACTATTTGACTGTTTGACTATTCCATGTTTGACCATTGACTGTCTGACTATTCTGTTTGTGACTATTGGCTGCTTAACTATTGACCGTTTTACTATTTTCTGTCTGACTATTCTGTGTTTGACTTTTTACTGTCTGCTGTCTGACTATTGGCTGTAAACTGGCTGTCTGATAATTCAGTATTTTACTATTTGCTTTCTGATTCTTTCATGTTTGACTATTGACTGTCTAATTATTTTCTGTCTGACTTTTCTGTGTTTAGCTATTGGCTGTTTGTCTTTTGACTGTTTGACTATTGACCGATTGATATTTTTTGTTTGTCTTTTGACTGTTTTACTGTTGACTGTTTGACTATTGACCGATTGATATTGATTGTTTGTCTTTTGACTGTTTTACTGTTGACTGTTTGGCTATTGACATTTTGACTATTGACAGTCTTACTTTTCTGTCTTTGACTCTTGACTGTTTGACTATTGACGGTTTGACTATTGACTAGCTGTTGCCTGTCTGACTAATGGCTGTCTGACTATTCCGCGTCTGACTATTGACTAACTGTTGGCTGTCTGACTAATGGCTGTCTAATAACTGTCTGACTATTCCGTGTTTGACTATTGACTGTCTAACTGTTGGCTGTCTGACTATTCCGTATTTAGCTTTTGACTGTCTGGCTATTAACAGTTTGACTATAGACTCTTTGACTTTTGGTTATTTACCAATTGACCGTTTGACTATTGACTGTCTGTCTATTGACATTTTGACAATTGACTGTCTGACTTTTGACTGTTTGACTATTGACTGTCTCACCATTCCGTGTTTGACTACTAACTGTCTGATTATTCTGATTTTGACTATTGACAGTTTAACTATTGACCTTTTAACTATTAGCTGCCTGAATAATCTGTGTTTGACTATTGACGGTCTGACTATTCAGTGTTTGACTTTTTGCTTTCTGACTATTTCATGTTTGACTACTGACTGTCTGAACATTTGCTGTCTGACTATTCCGTGTTTGGCTATTGGCTGTTTGACTTTTGACTGTCAGACTATTCCGCGTTTGACTATTGCCTTTTTTACTATTGGCTGTTTGACTATTGTCTGTTGAACTATTATTTGTTTGACTAGTGACTGTTTGACTATTGACTGTCCCACTATTCCCTGTTTGACTATTGACTGTTAAATATTGACTGTTTGACTTTTGTCTGTTTAACTGCTGGTCTTGTGACTATTGACTGTTTGTGTTTTAACTTATCGACTATGAATATTGGCCGTTTAACCAATGACTGTTTGACTTTTGACTGTTTAACTGTTGACTGCTTGACTATTCTGTGTTTGACTATCAAGAGTTTGACTATTCACTGCCTTATTATTTATTGTTTAATTATTGAGTTTTATCAATTGACCGTTAAATTATTGATTGTTTGACTGTAGGATTCTTTAATACTGACACTCTGCGGCTGTTGACATTATTGACTGTTTGACTATATTTGACTATTGACCGTTTGACCATTGCCTGTTTGACTATGGACTGTTTTATAGTTGACTGTTTTATTGGTTGTTTCTTCTTCTCTTCTTCGTGGCACTCGCTGAATGTAAACAGCCGCGCATATTTCTGTCTGTTCGTCCACTTCTGGACTTTGGTATTATTCCAGAACTTGAGTTTTGCATGCACATACATTTTATAGATCTGGTTTTTGTGTGGGAAGGCTTTTAGTTCTTTGTCTGTTATGCAGATACACTCTGACATCAAAGTTAACACTCGTAATTAGTCGTCTTGTACGGCTCGCTTGTAGGAAGCTGTCGCTCTAATTCGCCCCCCCCCCCACCTCCCCCAAAAAGGGCTAGGAAACCACGGCTAAATATATTGTTGACTATTAACTGTTTTATTATTGACTGTTTAACTATTAGATGTTTAATAACTGATTGTTTAATTATTAGCTGTTTAAATATTTGCTGTTTAATTATTGACTGTTTCATTATTTATTGTTAAATTATTAGGTGCTTATTACTTGTCTGTGTGTTTTTATTTTTTTTAATTTTTTTTATGTCTGATTGGCTGTCTGTCAAGTAATGGATAAAGAACACTACAAGAAGGATATAACACATTAAAAACGAATCGAAGATGTTTTCTTGGTACTGCCTGCTAGAACTGTTATGCCTGAGTTGCTGCAATGTTTGTATTCAGAACTAATAATCAGAACAGCGTGAATTGTAATTCTGCGAAGAGAGATGTGTTCCATACCAAGGCTACTCATGCAGTAACAACACGTGATATGCACCAAATGACGTAGCTATCTATATATCAGTGCTGCTTTATGCGTCAATCAAAAGCTTTCTCCAGTAGGCACATAGCTTGTCTATACAATATAGTTTCTGAAGCGTCTCTTGGGATCATGTAATACCAAGGTTCAGACAGAATCAACCTGAGTACTATGATATATGTGCAATACATACAGGGACACTAAAAAGTGAACTAGAAATATGTGGAGGCATGCGGATATCAGCGACAGTTAGAGAAGTCTTGGCTTTGCTGTTGTTGCTTTTATAGTGAGATAATTATCACACTTTGCTGATGGCGAACGTACGATCAAGTCAGGCCCGTCTCATCCCTTGGTCGGCTGTCCTGGCGTTGTTCTGTATTGTTGTAACTGTAAGTATCTTCGTCTTCTTCTTCTTCTTTTTCTTTTTCTTCTTCTTTTGCTTCAACTTCTTTTTCTTCTTCCTCTTCTTCCTTTTTTTCTTTTTCTGTCCCTACATAGACTGTTTGCCTGCTTTAGTGTGATTTACAGCTAGGCTGTGGTATATGTGACTGTGAGTATCAAACCAAAAAGTAATTTGATTGTCAGTCTCAGCTCTTCTTAGAACTTCGTCTAGCTATGATTATGAAATTCTTGATGTATCATTTGATTCTCTCTCTCTCTCTCTCTCTCTCTCTCTCTCTCTCTCTCTCTCTCTCTCTCTCTCTCTCTCTCTCTCTCTCTCTCTCTCTCTCTCTCTCTCTTTCCCTTTCACTTCCCTTTCACTTTAGTGTTTGTATAAGTCTTCGTATATTGTAAAGGAACGGGAAGTGATAGAGTGTGTATATTGTAAAGGGACGGGAGGTGATGGTGTGTATATTGTAAAGGGACACGAGGTGTTGGTGTGTATATTGTAAAGGGACACGAGGTTATGGTGTGTATATTGTAAAGGGGCGTGAGATGGGAGTGTGATTGTAAAGGGTGATGTTGTATATTGTAAAGGGACGGGAGGTGATGGTGTGTATATTGTAAAGGGGACGGAGAGGTGATGGTATATTGTAAAGGTATATGAGATGATGGTGTGTATATTGGTTTGTGAGGGACACGAGGTGATGGTGTGTATATTGTAAAGGGACACGAGGTGATGGTGTGTATATTGTAAAGGGACACGAGGTGATGGTGTGTGTATTGTAAAGGGGCGTGAGATGATGGTGTGTATATTGTAAAGGGACACGAGGTGATGGTATGTATATTGTAAAGCGGACACGAGGTGATGGTTATGTGTATTGTAAAGGGACGCGAGGTGATGATGGTGTGTATGGCATGTTTAAGGGTAAGGGGCGTGAGATGATGGTGTGTATATTGTAAAGGGACGTGAGATGATGGTGTGTATATTGTAAAGGGGCGTGAGATGATGGTGTGTATATTGTAAAGGGGCGTGACGGTGTGGTGTGTTATATTGTAAAGGGACGTGAGGTGTGTGTGTATATTGTAAAGTGACGTGAGTGAGGGTGGTGTGTTGTAAAGGACGGGAGGTGTTGGTGTGTATATTGTGAAGTGAGTGTGATGTGGTGTATTGTAAAGGGGACGTGAGGTGATGGTGTGTATATTGTAAAGGGACGTGAGGTGTTGGTGTGTATATTGTAAAGGGACGCGAGGTGATGGTGTGTATATTGTAAAGGGACACGAGGTGATGGTGTGTATATTGTAAAGGGACGCGAGGTGATGGTGTGTATATTGTAAAGGGACACGAGGTGATGGTGTGTATATTGTAAAGGGACGTGAGGTGTTGGTGTGTATATTGTAAAGGGACACGAGGTGATGGTGTGTGTATTGTAAAGGGACACGAGGTGATGGTGTGTATATTGTAAAGGGACGTGATTTGAAGGGGACGTGAGGTGTGATGGTGTGTATATTGTAAAGGGACGTGAGGTGTTGGTGTGTATATTGTAAAGGGACACAAAGGTGATGGTGTGTATATTGTAAAGGGACGTGAGGTGATGGTGTGTATATTGTAAAGGGACGTGAGGTGATGGTGTGTATATTGTAAAGGGACGTGAGGTGATGGTGTGTATATTGTAAAGGGACGCGAGGTGATGGTGTGTATATTGTAAAGGGGCACGAGGTGATGGTGTGTATATTGTAAAGTGACGTGAGGTGTTGGTGTGTATATTGTAAAGTGACGTGAGGTGATGGTGTGTATATTGTAAAGGGACACGTATATTGTAAAGTGTTGAGGTGTGGTGTGTATATTGTAAAGGACGTGAGGTGATGGTGTGTAATATGTGTAAAGTGACGTGATTTTTTTGTAAATTGTAAAGTGACGTGAGGTGATGGTGTGTGTGTTGTAAAGGGGCGTGAGTGATGTGTGTATATTGTAAAGGGGACGTGATTGATGGTGTGTATATTGTAAAGATTGAGGTGGTGGTGTGTATATGTAAAGGGACGTGAGGTGATGGTGTGTATATTGTAAGTGACGTGAGGTGATGGTGTGTATATTGTAAAGGGACACAGGTGATGTATTGTAAAGTGGTGTGTTGGTTTGTGTATTGTAAAAGGAAATCGGGTTGTTTATTGTAAAGGACGGGAGTTGGTGTGTGTATATTGTAAAGGAACGGGAGGTGTTGGTGTGTATCAGCGCAGATTTTCATCTTAAAAGACCTTTAATCGCAAATTTTAAAAACAGGCAATCGCCATGTCTCGACCCCTTCTGTTCAAAGCAATTACATATGGAAAGCTGTAATAAATGAAAAGTTTGTGGAAAGAAAGACAGAAGAGGTTAACGAGACGAAATTCTTGAAACAGTTTTAGCATTTTCAAATATGCAGTGGGGAA